CCGGGCCGAGTGCGGCCGCGCGGGGGCCACGTCCCGGCTCCTGGGGACGCTGGAGCTGCGGGCGGCGGGGCCGGAGCGGCGCCAGGAGGTGAGGCTGGACGACAAGGTGCTGCTGAGCGTCCCCGATGCCACCTTCCTGCCGGGACAGCGTTTCACCGCCACCTTGGCCCTGAGGCACAACTTCACCGCCCAGCAGCTGACGCTTCGGTGAGGTCCCCAACCCCCAGAGAGGGGTGGGATGGGTGGGATGGGGACGTCGCGTGACAAGGATCATCCCCCCTCCCCGTCACGGGCAGGATCAAGGCAAAGAAGGGGCTGCAGGTGGTGGCCGCCCGGCCAGTGTCCCCCAGTACCTGGAGTGTCCACCTGGAGCGTGCCCGGGGTCCCAAGCACTCCACGGCCGTGGGGACCCGCCGGAGGAACGGTGGCGGGAGGTAGGGGATGGTGGTGGCACCCCTGGGGACCCCCAGGGTGGGAGGGGGCTTCAGGCTGGGGGACCAGTGTAGCCCGGTATGGTCCGGTCAGAGCAAAAGGGAGCTGTGCGTGGTGCTGCCCCCATCCCAGTATGGTCCAGTTGGGGTGGGAGGACCTGTGCGTGGTGCTGCCCCCATCCCAGTATGGTCCAGTTGGGGTGGGAGGACCTGTGCGTGGTGCTGCTGCCATCCCAGGAAGGTCCAATTGGGGTGGAAGGACCTGTGCACTGCACTGCACCCATCCCAGTATGGTCTGGTTGGGGTGGGAGGACCTGTGTGTGGTGCTGCCCCCATCCCAGTATGGTTCGGTTGGGGTGGAAGGATCTGTGTGTGGTGCTGCCCCCATCCCAGTATGGTCCAGTTAGAGCAGGGCAGCCTATATGTTGCACAGGTCCCATCCCAGTCTGGCCCACGGGGACCTGTGTGTTGTATTGCTCCCATCCCAGTCTGGCCCAGTCAGAGCAAAAGGGGACCTGTGCTTTGCACTGCTCCCATCCCAGTATGACCCAGTTGGACCAGGGGGACCCGTGCTTTGCACCACTCCCACCCCAGCCTGGCCCAGTCAGAGCAAAAGAGACCCGTGCCCTGCACCAGTGCCACCCCAGTCTGCCCAGCGGTGGGGCTGGGGGCAGTGGGGCAGCCCCCCCACCCCCACCCCGTGCCCTGGTGCAGGGTGATGGCTCCGGTCCCGTTCCTGCACCTGGAGGTGGGGGTGGAGAACGGGACGGGGGGAGCAGCCCCGGGGAGGGCCCTCACCTGGCAGGGGGAGGATCCC